AGGCTTTTTGACCACTTGAGGTGGGCCATAAAGATTGAAAGTGGCAGTGACAATGGTAGAAACTAGCCTAATATTGGTGGTAAAATAGACAAAATGAGTCAAAATGTCTTACTATCATTATATGTGGGCCCCACAGTTGTTTTACATCAACTCTAATATTATAAATGTAGATTCCATTATACTCCACCCTTTGAAATAACAAGAACATAAAACTAGAACATTTATAAAGTTGTTACCGATAATATAATAGTTGTGTGATTTGCGCTTTAGTTTGGTGATTTAACTTTGAAGATAATATAATCAAATACCTTCTTAAATCAAATATGATCAAAACAAAAAAGCAATAGTAAACAACTAGTCTATATTTGCCAAATATAATATACACACATTTTACAGCAATCATTATCCAGCTAAATTTTCAAATCTCAAAACCCAAATGTTCTTAAGATGTCTTCTCCTCATGGATCTTGGAATATATTTTCTTAGTTCTAATTGCTAGCACCAAGTCCAATCCACAACCAAGGACACAAACAAAAGCCATGATCACAAACACAAGCATGTAACATTGTGATCCAATACAAGTGTTTCCTCCTCCTCCTCCTCCTCCATTATTTTGCCTGGCAGCTTCTGCATCATATGAATTCCCAGCAACAAGACCAGAAAATAGGAATGAACCAAGAGGAAGATTCAGAATCAGAATGTTATATAATAAACCATAGTACTTGAGCCCAAATAATTCTGAAGCTGATGCTGTAGTTATAGTCAAACGAACACCGTAACATATTCCCACTATCATTGACCCTATGTAAAGTGATCCTGGTAATGACATAGCCATTACCATGAAGCCCAGAACCATTAATAACTGTGAAGCTGCATTCCAAATGGCCTAGCCATGCCTGATTTTTTGATGAAGTATTCTGAGAGTGAACCAGAAATAATACGTCCAAAGAATCCCCAGATGCTGATAAATGATATGAACATAGAAACATCGGTGTAACCACTCGCCAATCCAATCTGCCCCATGTTGTTCATCACACACATTCCTGTTCCCACCCCACATAAAAACGACATAAACAAGACCCAAAAATCAACCGTTTTGACCATTTCAATGATCGTATGTTCCTCCCCTATCACGGGTTGTTGTCGTTTTATTACTTCACCTCCACTCTGAGAATCAACATCTTCTTCCTCCTCTTTATTATTATTTTCAGCAAGCAATAATGGTTCGTCAATCTGACGTTCTGCATCAGAAACAAGGTTTGATTTGAAGATAAATGGACATAAAGGAACAAGAAGTGGCATGGCTAGTAAAATAAGAAGCCCCAAGGTGAAGAGAAATGAAAGAAGATGGCCATGGAGTCCAGTGATGTCATATGCCAAGAGGTAAAAAGCTACAATCATAGCAATAATGTTGAACAGATTCAAGAATTGGGTTTCTTGTTTGACTTCTGCAGAATTGGAAGCTGGTTGGGTTTGGTGAAGGGAAAGAGAAGCAATGAAGCAGATAATAGCTGGAACAATGGTGAGCATGAGGAGAAATGAGGAAGGAGATGAGGAGAACAGAGCTGTACACGTGTCAGTAAAGATTGCAGTGCTGAGACCTACATAGCCCTTGAGAATCCCGGAAACGGGACCTCGATTTTGAGGGAAATTTCTCATGCAAGTCACTAAAACTGCCGTGTTCATCCAGGTTGAACTATTCCCTCCCAAACATAACAACACACACATCTGCAGGAACAAAATCCCATGATCATCATTCTTTAGCAAAATGAAAAGAAGATGATGAACAAGAAAGATGAACATGAAAAAAGATACATGTGTTAAGAATGAGAAGCCACCACACAAAAACAGCAAGTAAGAAGTCATGGAAAAAAACTTCAAGACTCAAGTTTATGGATATTTATTGTTTTTATTATATATTGGGTATGAAGCTCAATTTTATTGGCTGTGGGACTTCCTACGTTGGCTTTTATCTAAGGTATTGAAAAATAAATTGATTATTGAACCGGTTAAGACACTAATTCAAAAGTTAATGGTCAAACTGTAATCGAACCATATCAAATTAATCATCAACCAATCAAGATACTAGTTTAATGGTTAACAGTTCAACCAGATGGATTGATTAAAATTTTCATTTATATACTATATCAATTGCATTAAACAACATAACAATCTCTCATTCAAATGTGAGTTAACAATTTTCCCATCAAATTTTTGATCTTGTAATTAGGGCTAGCACATTATTTTTTCAAACTTCAAATGGTATGTGCAGACAAGTCCCTATTGTAATTTGCAACCCAGGGTCGATCCCATTTTTGGGGCATTACTAGCAAGATGCTTATATATCTGATTTATAAATGTATCTTATTTTGATATTTGTAACATGACATAATGATAAGATTTGTGTATGATTTGACATGAAATGATAAGGGGAGAAATGAAGATGAACTTACAAGCCAATAAGGGAGAGGAGAGATTCTCTGGCTAACAACAAGCCATTGACCTCCATAGCCAATGAAGCCCATGAAAGCTCCAATGAGGAGAATAACAGAAGGTGGCCAAATATCAGAGGCGATACCAGAGAGAAGACCAAAGGCTTTGCCAATGTCTTTAGCAACAGAGAGATTGTTAAGCTCAAGCTGTGTGAGAACCATGAGAGTCTTCAATGCATGAGAATAATTGGCGAACGCGTAATTGTTTCCACTGATTGCTTGAACCCATATCGCTGTCACAAACCCTAACCATTTCCCTCCTGAAGCCATTCTTCTGATTCAACAAACTCTGTTTCTTTCTTCTTTTGATCTATTTCGCTCTTTTTGTGGTGTGGTGGCTGTTTAATTTGTTGCTATTTATGGGTTTCCCCATTTTCATTCATGACTTGTTTTCCTAATAATCAAATAATATATGGATTATCATTATCAGATGTTTACTACTAAATGATTACGTCCACGTATTATGAGAAGCAAATCAGGAACTCTCATTTCCTGACGTAGACGCATAATTAGAACATGGTTTTGCTATTACAGGGTCCTTTGGCGAAATAATATAACTTTTATTTTTTTAATGAAAAAAAGTTCATATAAGTTAGGTTTGATGACTCGTTAGGGATAGAGTATATCTCCAAACTTAATACTTACAGTATATTTTGATATCACTTACCAACAAGATCTTTGTATTGTAACATTGTAGATTATGAGCCAAACTTATATAAACTTGACTAATTTTTATTAGTTTTTTTTTTAATCAAGTACAGTTCACAAGTGTGGAGTCAAAGAAGCTGATGTGTCGGATCATCTCAAAATAAAAATTGGAATTTGAAATTAAAATAAAGCTAGTTGTAGATGTTTCTAAATAAAAAATTAAAATATAAGTTAGTCGTGGTCCTTGTTGTCGATGACATGTTTTAAGGACTGAGGAGGACCGTTGTTGTCGGTTTTTAAATGACTAGCCGGCACCGATAATGAACGTATTATAAAAAATAAAAAAAAAATATGATGAAGGAGGGAAGGGGAAGGGGGGGGGGGGATGACATTACCAAGTGGAAAATGCCAAGTCTTTTTTTTTTTTTTTTTCCGGTCAAAACCAGTTTTCCGAAAAATGTGGTATATTCAATACCAGGACCAAAAGCACTGGATGGATTCAATATTGCTCCAGCTGAAAGAGATCTCGACCGTTTGCTTTATCAACGGTTCAGGATCAATGAAATGCTTGACTTTTCTTTTCGGTAGATAATGCAATACGTGGCTACATGAATTATTTTCCAATGTATTGCAGGATCTGGGCTGTCTTTTGTGTGATATGACCAAGCGACGCTGTTTTGCGGTTCTTTACTCTAGCGAACCACCAGATCTGGATTTTAGTTTTATTTCATTTTAACAAAAATATAATAATTTATCCTTATAGTCTTTATCGAGTTTTCCTTTTAGTTTTTATAATTTATTTTTAATATTTTCAATCTTTGTAGTCCTTGTAATTTAATATTGTCAGGGATTTAAGGAACAAATGTTACTTAATTTTATTAAATTATATAAACTAAAAATATTAAAAAAATTATAAAAATTAAAAATAAAATTCAATAAAATTATAGCAACCAATATTTCATAACAGTGTCAAAACAGGGGTGAACCTCTGGATTACATTAGTTGACACTTGGCAGACATTGTAATCGGCGAGAAAAAGATAGCATCTATCCATTTAGATGTTTCTTTTCAGGTTTCAGCAATGAAAATAAGATATTTAACAGGGAAAATCTTAACAAACTAAGCGTTAAATATAAGAACAAGAAGTTTTAATTTAGTCTTTGCTATTAAAAATTTATCAATAGTCTATTAAATTCTATCATTATACTAACCATTTATCATTTTGACACTTCAAATATGTAATTTATACTAACAAATGTGATAAAATATAAGTGACAAAGTAAAATTAATAGGCATATATATCGAAAATTTAATAAAAAATATCTAGCTAAATTTAAAATGATTTAAATTACAAATTAATTTGTATAAAGTTACTTTTATCCCACGATATGCCCAAGTCCTTGGTGCACGCACGGCAAGTACAATTGCCTCTGTTTATTTTTTGAATAATATAAAAGTAATTTTAAAATAGAAAATTACATTATATCCAAATTTATTTCATTATTTTAACTTAACAAAACATTATATTAAGCCAAATAAAAATTTATATATAGTAAAAAAATCTATAATATATCTTGCTATGCATAAGCATAACCAATATACAATTTTTTTAATCATAAGCAATATAATTTACTTTAAATTCTGTATAAAGCATGTGTTTATAATTAATTTTTTTTAATGAAAGATCTACAAAAATTAAACACGAAGAAATTTTATCTAAAAAAAAAAAACAAGAATATGTGCCTTCGTATATAAGGTATAAATTCATGACCAAAAAATTATAAGGGTATAAATTTTACCATGTTTCTTCTGCCTTCTTCGGCCAAATTAGAAGCATATAATCTGCTCTGTTTTCGAAAGTGAGCGTGCAAGTCAAATTTCTTTGCTTATCAGCTGTTCCGTTAACCATAAACACTCGCAACCTTCAAAATCTAATCACTATAATGACAGTTCTGCCTATTGGCAATGCACTAACAATAAGAATAACAAAGAAACAGATAACAAATTTGTATGCATCTTCTGTCTCTGTTTCTGCTCAGGCTATATGCTACTATTATCTAGCAACTAAAACACAATCTCCTTTGAGGGAGAAGAGAATTAAGGGGCCAATTTTGTGAATTTTGCCACAAATAGTCCACTAGTCTGAGATGCTGATGGATCAAAACGGTATGTTTTTTGCAATCCAACCACTCTTGCAAGGCCAATTTCGGGCAGCTTCTATCTCCTGCAATTCTGTAAATTCAAAGAAAATTAAAATAAAGGAAGTGACACAAATTCCATTCAAAAATGGAAACTTCCACATAAAAAATTAATAGAAAAACACAAGTCCCTGTACTTTTATTGCGTTTTGTTTCTAATCTCTTTAGTTTTATTTTGTTGTTTCCAGTCCCTTTAGTTTGATCTATTTGCAACCTCAGTCCTGTAAAATGTACATAATAATCATGAGCTAGCACTAATAAAGTTAATTTCACTGTAACTTTACTAAACCTTTTCCTAACATGGAAATAAATTGACTAGGTATGGTTAAAAATATGAGGTTAGGAAGCCCCCAAAAAAAAAAAAAAAATCATTGCATATTTGCATTAAACAGAACGTGAAAAACGAAGGCAGGATAAAGTGCACGTTAACAATGAGGTTAACATAGTTAAGCATATGCAAAATTAACTCCATTGGTGCCAGCTCATGTCTTTCTGTGCATTTTTAAAACTACAGGGACTAGTGTTGTAGATGGATCAAGCTAAAAGGATTGGGAATAATGAAATAAAACTATAAAGATTAAAAACAAAACACAATCAAAGTACCACTTGCTATTGTATTTTCCCAAAATTATAACAAATTCCCTAAATATATAACCAAAAAAGTACCACTAAAACAATATGTGCTCACTCAAGTCATGATACATGTTAACTCGATTGCTCATGCTATCCCATACCACAGGTCTATCAGTTACAATTGATAAATTTTAGTGTGAACATCTCATTTTCGGATTTTCTTAGGAAAGAAAAGGCACAAAGACATCTAAAAATTCATATTTTTTGTATGGGATGCAAAAAATACTGCCAATCACGCTAGTTATATGGCATTTCAGTCCCTTACGTTCACAAAAGTGAATGTATATAATGTACTTGGATGAAGATGAGGTGAAAATAGTAGAGTATAATAATGAGATACAGACTATATAATAATATCACATTCATCTTTATCACTCCCCAATTTAGTGACATGGACCACAAGCTTAATAATGGACAAAAGGAAATAGCTGAAGCATTAAAAAGAATTCACAGTCAAGAAATAACTAGAAGCATGAAAATCCTACCAGCCGATACATTTTCCTTCAGAAATTGTTCTACCACATCTTCATTCTGAGCAATGGTTAAGCTAATCAACAAGAAGCTACTTCTTAGAAAAAGTGAAGATAATAAGAATCATAGCACTAAAATGCGTGTCATGAATTCTCATAAAAGACAATAGGAACTTAAAATACCTGCAAGTGCTGTAGACAAGTGATCCTCCAACTTTTAGGAGTCTGAAACCATTGGTTAGGAGACTCAACTACAGCCAGACACAAACAGATATGAGTGTTAAAAGTAAGAAGAGTATTGTTATGACTACATGAGCATGCATGATTCCATCTGCAAATAGCCATATAAACAACTTCTATCCCTAGTTCACTAATCTCACGTTGTAGTTTACTTTTACCAGCCTTTACATTGAAGTGTTAAAAAAAAAAAAAAAGGTAAAGAAAACAACGAATCTACAAGAATGGGCAATCAGAATCATAAATTCACTAATATGGTGCAGATAATGAGATTCGTCACATCTAAAAGTCCAGACTAGGTGTATAAAACATATAAGCCTATGATGCTTCATAGGACTGATACTTAATTGGTTCAGTATATGCAATGCTTTAGTGCAATATGCTACCCAGGTTGAAATCTGTGCTATCCATTGCCCTTTGGGGCATGTATGCATGTGAGAAAAAAAAAAAAAAAACAAAACACAAAATCGAATGACAATTACATTATAGTTTATGGATAAAAAGAAACAGTGAGTCACTTGCCTGAAGAGCAAACAAGTTATCAATCCTATCTGCATCTAGCACCCGGCGTTGGAGAGTTTTCCAGCCCCAAAGTTCAAACTTCTGGATATGTTTGATTGAACCATCATGGGTGCACTCTGCATCCACAAGAACCTGCATCAAACCCTGACAAATATAAGATTGGCATGTTCAAGAAAATAAGTGAGCCAATGTACAATCACATTAAAATTCTGTTAACCTTGTCATAGCCATGGCTCATAATCTCTGTGTCAGACACATTCTTATATAGTTCTCCTTTTGTAAGGCCAACAACTCCAGAATTCCGCCCATAATAAATGAGGTCAGGAGGTTGAGACCCCAATACCAGTTGCGGATTTCCACTTTTTCTTGCCCTCTTCCTCTCCTTCCATGTTCTTCTAGATGTCCACTCCTTGAATACATCAGCTTTTTCTGCCAATACAGATTCACCTGTTTGATACTAGATATAATGATAAGGTTGATAAAAGTAAGTGATGAGTAATTTGCAGTATTACTTTCCAAGACTAAGTCTATCACAACTCAGAATTTTAACTACATGTGTATTATCTGAACAGAATCTTGCAGGAATAAGTGAAAATGTTGCTCCATCAGCAACAAAAAGTCGGCATCGATCACCCAGCTTATACTTCTGCAGCATTGTTCTACATGCTGCTAAACGGTGTCTTGCAACATCAACTCCAGTTACAGATCCTGCATCACCAAGAAGGTCTGATATCATACAAAGTTTGGCACCTGAAAATGAAATTTGCAAAAAATTAATTAAATTAATGATCTAATAAAGTGAATAAAAGTACTGCTAGTAACTCATAAAATTTGCTCTTAAACAGTGAAACAAAAAAAAAAAAAACAACCAGTTAAAAGATATTCGTAAAACCAAAAATAGAATTAAGTCATTGTATACATATAATATATAAAATAATGCTTTTCAGACAAGATCTTAAATCATAGTCTAGCATAAAATCATCTTTCTTTATATATCAAGTAGAAGCATCAACACACTTCCAGAGACAATTTTAGCATAATTGGAATAAAAAAGTTACATACCAGGAGCGGCACAGAGATCAAGAACGTGGTCTCCGGCTGATACATTCAAAGCCATAACAGCAGCTCCGGAAGATGCATCGATTCCATATATCTTTACCCGACCCACAGCAAAGGAAATCAGTATGACACAAGAGTAAAGTTAGTTTAATCTTCCAATGAGCGGTACGACAATAACAAATGAACCACCAAAAGGTTTTGGATAATGTGAAAATCTCTTAATAAAACAGACTAATTATTTTCCACGAAGCATTGTAGCGTGCTCACCTTGCCTTCTTGGTATGCCTTTGAGCTAGCAATCTGTATATTCGAAGGAACAGAATAAAACCGTGGCAACCAGTCTACTCTCTGGAGCTTACAATTAATATCTGCTTCAACCTCTTCAAGATATGCTTCACAATTAGGTTTCAAACTGTCCTCAACAAAGTAAAACGTTAGTCGATATGCAAAATCAATTCGAAGGATTCAAGGAAGTTGAAGAGCTTACCGGATGTATCGCGGAGGAGAATCAATAGACATATAAATTGAAGGGTCAAGCCCATTCGCCTCCAGAAACTCAAGGAAAGCGTCTGGCAATGGGAGTTTTGTAGCCTCCTCTTCCATAATACAAAAAACTATGTTGGGGAACCTTGGCTTGGGTTAGTCGATCGCGATGCGACCATGAGGAGAGCGTCGAGGATCTCTGAGAGGCGGAGGGGAGCACACCTCGGAGGGTAAGGCAAAACGGCAAGACGTTCATGCCTAAGAGCTGTCGTTTGACTATGCATAACAAAAACCAAAACAAAATAAAAGGTCAATGCACATCTTAAATCATAAACTATTATTTAAATAGTATTTTAAATTTTAAATTTTTAAAATATATAAAAATTTATCTTACTTTTTAAATTCTGAGTTTCTGAAACCTCACAATTAAATTAGAGAAAATGATCATTACTTTTATAGTTATGAAGCCTAGTCGCATACTAATGTGGTATTCATCTTAACTCTTAAAAATAATGATTATTTTCTTTAATTTAATAGCAGGGTTTTAGGTGTTCAAAATTTAAAAATTGAGAGAAGTTGTTGTACAGTTGAAGAATTCAGAATTCATGATACTATGCACGCAATAGTTTAGGGTCAATGAGCAGATAATTACACATGCATTAATAACAATACCTCACATTATTATAAATATCATGGAAGCATATAGTCTTTGTTTACAATTAAAAAATATATTCTTTCTATCAAAATTAGCCGACCCCACCTAGTGAGATAAAGGCTTGTTGTTGTTGTTGTTGTTGTTGTTGATTCTTTCTATCAAAATAGTTAATAGAAAATAACTCATAAATTTAAGTAAAGTTAGCTATGAATTTAAAGAATATTATTTTTGAATTAATGAAAAATCAATTGTGATGGATAAATAGTTTTATGAATTTATATATTGTCATGTATAAATTTAAGAATAATCACTTGTGAATTTTAAGAATGTGTGAATGTGTAAATTTATCAAAATTCAGCTGTGAATAAATGAATAGTCTCACGAATTTATACATCGTTATTTGTGAGTTAGGGACTATCAATTATAAATTTAATGAATGTCACTTATGAATAATATGAGAATTATGAATGAATATGATAATCTTAATTGCAAATCAATGATTTAAGCATTTATTCACAATTGACTTTTCAAAAATTTATAAGTAATTTTTCTAAAATTTACAAGTAACTATTTTTAAATTCACTAGTGATGATATATATATTTATAAAATTACAATATCAATTTATAATTGACTTTTTATAAATTCACAATTAATCTTCCTTAAATTCAAAACTAATTTTTCTTAAATTCATAAATCATCTTCTATTAGTTATTTCAATAATTAGAAGTATTTTAATTTTAAATAAAGATCATGATCATTTCATAACATTTTAATAATTCAAGATTTTCAATTATAATTAGTGTATTTACAAGGTGTTTATGTCCCGGTTTACCTAAAATTTCACATTTTCTACAACCACGTCTTTATTTTAAGGCTCATGATCGAGGTCATAAGCCAGTTTTAGAAAAATAAAATAAAATTTATCATTATAAAAATATAAATTAACTAAAATAATCTAAAATTAAAAAAAACAAACAAGTCAAAATCTTCATCATCTTGGTCATAAATCACAAATTATAAACCTAAAAGGCATCACAATAAATTCATAGTGTTCGTATCTAATTCAGAAAGTAGTTTTAGGGATGTCCTTAGCTCTTACCCTCAACTGATAGTACCTAAATCTCAAGTCAAATTTTCAAAACACTGCTAACCCAACAAGCTGATCCAACAAATTCATCAATTCTCAAGAGAGGATACTTGTTCTTGATGGTCACATTATTCCATTGTCTATATTCAATACACAATCTAAGACTTCTATCCTTCTTGTTGACAATCAAGATCAAAGATCCTCAATGTAAGATACTTGGTCTTGTAAAGCCCTTCTCAAGTAACTCCTCAATCTAATTCTTTAACTCGGCCAACTCGGAGGGGAACATTTAGTAGGGAGCTTTAGAGATTATCCTATACCAGGCATCAACTCAATGGAAAATTTTGTAACGTATCTCCGACATTACTAATCATATAGAACACCAAACATGAAATACCATTGTGATAACGAGGATTTCCCGAATTTGATAAAAGCGATTATCATAACACAAGGGTTAAAAGAAGATTTAAGAAGTCGGGATCCCAAGAAAACCCTTAAAAATATTGTTTAACCTCAAACTGTATTTTAAAACCAATAAAACGAGATATAGAAGCATGGGAATCATTAACATCACTTGAAAACATTATTAAACTAAATCTAAAAATTTTTCTAAAAATTGGTCTCGTTTGCCATAGCGCAAGTGCTGCCCGTAGCATGAATGGCATAAAGAGCCAACATCTTGCTTCACAGTACGCACTTGTTGTCATGATAGCAAATTGCTATCACGACAGTACTCCGAGCCAACCTTTAGAGTGCACCAAATCACCATCTGACATCTGATTTAAGTTATTGGTATTAGTCACACACCCAATCATTAAGCCAAATGAGATTTGGACATCCAAATCCAAAATGGTACATTTTCTTTTCAAAACCATCATCAAGGTATCCAAACTCACATACCAAGTGTTAATAACCGTGGAACCACTTGAATCAATTCAAATGGATCATAAACAACTTGTTTATGCATTTAAACCAATAACTCCTAGACAAGTTTTGGCCACTAAAACCCTTAATTTAACATAAATTCCACAAAGGGTACTAAAGACACAAAATCATTCTAATGGCCAAGCAAACATATGTATCAACACAAAATAACACTTGCACTAGTCTCTTAACCTCTCACAACCATTCTAACACAAATACAACATCTCAAGCCAAGACACCCACAGTTTACAGCAGAGTTCATGCAAGTGCTCTCAAAACAACATATGCTTCCTAAGTTGGCATATGCATATTTAATTCATTACAAAATCAAAATAAATGAAAAGGACTATACAATTATTGGCTAGTCTCCTCAATGCTTAGTCGCACCTTCCTTTCCCTTGCCCCTATCGGAGCCTTCACTTGTAAAATATAACTATGGAGTGAGTCGAGGACTTAGTAACCAAATAGTCTAATCAAACTACTCGTATGTGAGAACAGATAGTGCGTATGTGAAGTGGCATTAAAGCATATAACAAGATACACTACCATTCAAATGGTTATAGTATGATATGTATGATCCACACACCGCCTTATATCTTTTGACCGTATTTGTGGGTTGACAACTCAATAGGATCGAATTCGTGTGACTGGATTGTCCCAAGTTCATCATTAGTAAGAGGTAGCCTTAGCTAAGAGTGCCTTTACCCATTATAGACCACAAATTCTCCCTGTCCATGAATACCAAGGGTGTTGATACCCAATCAACCTCATGTGGTAATGGGACTTCCAAACAATATAATACTGAGCATTAGGGTCTCCATAGTGCCAGTGTACCATATGAATTTTCAAACAATATTCCTAATAACACATTAGGGTGAACTCTCACCATCTCACAATGATCATGTCAAACATATGCTTAGTGATTCCATATAGCCATAACATATAATTTCACCATTTAATCATTTCCACACAAACCTGTCACATGTAAGTTTTCATTAAAACCATATAATTTTGCAAATAATTATACTTGAACATAAAGACTAGTCTTCAGAATCCACAATATTTAAAACACAAGTTTCATTACACTTCACATAGGTTTTTAAAACCATAATCATTTTATATTAATAATATACTAGTACAAAACAAGAGCATTAGCCTTAAAAGCAATGACACAATCATCCAAACATGCAAATAGAGAGTTTAGACAATCTAGTTACCTCAACCTTTTTTTTTACTAAAAGGGTTACCGTGGTCAAATAGCAGCTTCACATGTGTCAATTATCACCATAATGCTTGATCAATAGCTAATGTATAAGATTAAACTCTAAATCATCAATCCACACACTAATTACCCCATTTATAACATAATTTCGAGTACCCACAATACCTAGAACCTTAATTTAACCCAATTAATTCTCCCAACACACTCTATTAATTCTATTCAACACCCAAACACACTAAAAACCCCAAATCTCTACCTACATTGTTCTCAATCTCCCTAATTTTCTCTTAGGGTTTGTCTAAACCTTACCCAAAAATTTTAAATCACTATATAATCTATAAATTTAGGTTTAGAGTCTTGATTTAACCCTCCAAGACCTTAACAAAGGCAATGGATTTGGTTATAACCTAAGAACAATCAAATCAAAGCCTCAACCATAACCAAAAGCATCAAGAATTTGTATAAAGGGAGAGGGAGAGGCGCAAGAAGCTTACCCAAAGAAAAATCTTACTCCAAATTCTTCTAAATTGCTCCAAGAGTAGAGCCCTAGCAGCTTCAGGTCGCTATTCATCACTTTTTTGCATTTACTCTTATCCCACTTCTAATTTTCAATTTGATTTATGAAACTGATAAGTGAAGATTTTGCATATATGCCACGATGCATGGCAAAGAGAGTACCACACATGTTTTGAACCTTTCTCCATGCCACGGCCCACCTAAACTCCGATCTAGACTTCTTCTAAGGTTGCTTAATGATTTATTAGCTACATTAGTTTCCACCAAAATTACACACAAAGTAGATAGAGACACACTCTTCTCTCTACAGTCCAAGATACCACCATTTGCCAATGTCCAATTCATACTCTGTTATGGCCCCTTTTAATAGTTCCTCTTGACAATGTCTCTCGTAAAGTTTAGGTACAATGAGGGTTTACTATGAGAATCCCCTCTCTTTTCTCTAGCTATCTCTCTCTTACTATAGGACACAATCTATAGTTTCACACATATCTCCTCATAACTCTTAATTCCCAAGTAAGCTAACTACTCTCTAAGTTCAGGCCTTGCCTTCTCTAGCATCCTCATTATGCTAGAGATAAGGTAAGTACTTAGGCAACTTTTAAAATTGAGTAATAAAAGCATCCTTATTGACATTCCCCTTCTTGAAAGGATGGAACTCTACTTCCTTCTTTGGCCTAAACTCAGAGGAAAAGTAGTGTCCAAATAGTCTCTCCTAAAATCCTCCCAAGTGAGTATGGACTCATCCTTAGGTCTTACAATTTCCCACCAATCTCTTAATTCCTTTACTAGAAGCACTACTGCAAACTGTACCTTTTGATTCATAGTGCACTCAATAACTCTACATATTTTCTCCATTC